TCTAATCATGAGCTGCAATTTAATACACCACAGCTTCTCACCAAAACCCCAATTAACCCTACCGCCCCTCAAAGCCCGCCCACCTTGGCAGCAAAGCCAGCATTCTTAGCGGCAGCCAAGTCGTATATCGGATGCCCCAGCCCGGCGTGGATACCAAAGGTGATCGTTTCGTCGCCTGGGGCGTCCACGGGGGTGTCGGAAAAGGCAAAGGCCAAGGGGGTGTGGGCCTGCGGGTCGAGCTTGGTGTAACCCACATCATCGTCGCCCCATCTCGAGCAGCCGGTGTGCTTGGTCGTGACTGCCAGTGGGTGACGTTGATGTGCGTCCCGGTCTTGAGAACGGTGTAGGTTGCGTCCGGATACTCGGGCGGGCTGAAGTAGCCGCTGTAAGGGGTCAATTGCGTTAGAAACTGCAAATACTGCATGTGTGTTTGTGTGAGTGTACGAACTAAGCAATCCTCGATGAGAGCGCGACGTTGTTGGTCCCGTTGGCCCAGGCAACGGCGAGCGGGTTGTACGTCATGTGCCCTCCCCAAGCCCAGCCAGCCCAGCCGACGTCATTGGGCGACACGATTTGTAGCACTGTGTCGAAGATTTTGGTCTCGGGGACCAGGTCGGGGATGGCGACGCGGAACGTGATGCCGCGGTCGCTGGTGTAACTGGCAAAGGTTAAGCCCGTCTCAGGGTCCTCGAACACGGACGAGTCGGCCTCAAATTGCCTTGGAGCTTTGGCACCACCGGACCATACCTTAGTATTAGTTGAGTGCGGTTCTGTCGCGAGCTGTGGACGGGGTCGTCTTACCGAGGCCCACGAAGGCGCATATCCGCGCAACGCTCTGGACGAGTTGCATGGTGGCCCCAGAAAATTGTTGCAGCGCTGCGAAAATGACACCAAGACGCCAGGGGGTTCGGGAAATCTCTTATATAGCCGACGGCTGAGCTGACACTGGGACAACCTGGACCTTAGAAGACTGATCAAGGGGAAGGCTGACAAGCACCCACGGAATGCTATCAAGCACCCAGCTATTCCTAATCGGGATAATCTTTTTTTTTTACCAGTGCCGGGCCGGCAGCTCGTACATCACATAACGTAAAACAGGCGCTCAAATTTCAGCAAATAAGTTACCACAATGGCACAGCAGAATCATAATGTCAATAGAAGCTAACTATCTAACAATCCTGTTTCTACGAGAAGGATACTTTGAGAGACCTCAATCCTCTGTAGTAGTACCTTGTTCCTCGCCTTCGTCCTCTTCCTGAAGAGCTGCAGCATCCTCACGAGCCAGCCGAGCCTCAGCCTCTCCATCAGCAAGCAACGCGTCATGTGTATCCTCGACTTCGGGATCAACAGCATCGAGGGCGTCAATACTGCGCTGATGCGCCCGCGGCGGTGCCGTTCCAGGCTCGTACATATCCTTTTGAGCCTCCTGCAGCCGCTGTCAACCTAGCCTTGTGCTTGTGACCTCAGGGATCGCTGTGGCCACCTCCTTCTCTGATCTAACTGCTGCTACAATGCAGTCAGCTTCCTGAGATTGCCGCTGGGCCTGTAGTTGCAGCTGTTGCGTCTGTTTTTGGCGTTGCGGCTGGTTTTTGCGTTGCGGCTGTTGTTTGCGAGGGTGGCCGCGCGGCTTGCCCGCCGATGCTCCCTCCATTACGGGAGGAGCAGTTGACGGGGGAACAGCCGTAGCCAGTTCATGGTCAAGCTCACGTTCGAACGCCGAAGGCAGCCGCTTCGTACCAGTGATTCCCTCACCCTTCTTCTTCGAAGCAGGGGCCGGCCGACGCGATAGCCCCAGCAGGGCGGCCTTTGCCCTTGACCCTGACGGGCCCAAGGGGAATATCTGGCACGGCGTTGACGACCTGCTGCTCCTCTGCGTCGGCCACAGGCCGGTAATTCCACCAATGTCCACCAATGTTCGTGAATCTGCTTAAGCTCAACAGGGCTGTCACCTGTAAGATGTTTGTAGAGAGTATGGCGGCAGGGAAGCCCGTGGGTAGCCGGCAGCGGACATGTGCAAACATCGCCCTCCCTAAGTGGCGCGTTCTTCGCAGGTAGTTTTGCCACTTCTGTAGCAAGCAACTGCAACGCGTAGTTTGAAATTTGGCCCTGGATGTGGCTATAGACGACGCCATGAAGGCCAGTAGGGTTCTTGTTCGTGTTCCAGGAAGTGTTGTGGTCAAGAGCACTACGTTGGTTCTTCTAGAATAGCACAAGGCGCTCGAAAACGCTCTTGAGGTCGCCCCTGGATGTGACCAGGTATTTCTTGATGGAAGAATGGGATGACTCTACTGCAGAAGTAGTAGCGTGGCCCATGTGTGGTACCTGGTTGGTCCAGAAGCTCACGAGTTTTTCCTTCTCAATGTCAGCGACCATAGGAAACATCAGGGATCAGGGAGATCCTTACCTTCCAAGGGGTTAGCCACACACTTACGGCATACTTTACCGCTTCCTCCGGATGCTTCCCGGCCGATGTGAAGCCGGCAAGCGATTGCTTGTATACTTCGGAAGTACTGGCGGACAGGAGAGCGTTCCATTCCTTCAGGAATGTCTTGAACTTAGGGTGGCGGTGGTATTCGCTGCCCTGCTTGATTGCTGGTGGAAAGAATCGTCGGGTCTTTGCAAGCACGTTCATATTGACGTGCCAGCGGCAGAGAAGGTGTGGAATCGGGCGCCACGCATCGCTGGCCTCGAGGGCATTGAGCAGGGCTAGTTCGCGATTCGTAACAATCAGGCCGGGCAGGCGAATGTTATGCCTCGTAAGGATCGTCAACTGGGCATCCAGAGCGCCTTCGTAATGACCCTGCTTCTCGCCGCTCAAGAACGTGACCGACCAGTTGAAGGTCTTGTTTTCCTGTGTAACGCCGCAGCCGTTAAACATCGGCATCCCGTGGCAATTCGTTTTGTAGGTGGAATTCAGTAACAGGAGGTCGGGATTCTGCTTGAGTAGCTCCAGGCCGCTCTTAGGAGCCATGGTAAGAGAGATGACGCGATTGTACTCGTCCCGGGTGTCGATGTATTTGTACTGGCTCTCAGCAGGTATAAGGAAGTCCTCGTACAAGGTTTGGAGTGGCGAGCGGCCCCCAAGCTCCTGGCGGCGATGTTTTTGAAGAAGATTCCATATGTCCTTGCCCATGACCCCAAGCTCGTCAACATGCATGGTGGCTAAGATCTGAGAAGGTCTATTGCCAGCATTGGCCATTTCGATGACCTCTTCCTGATGGAGAGCCAAGACTCGGGTACGGTTCGAGGCAAAAGAACTTGCTTCGTCCCAGCCGTGGTTGTGACTTGAGAACTCCCCTTCAGGCATCTCTAGCAACCATTTGCCGCTGGGCAGCGGCTTGGCTGTTAACCGGAACTTGCAGCCGGTTATCTGGGTACTAGACTTCCTCCGCTTGCTCTCGTGAATGTCAGAGGAGCGCTGATCCTTGTAATTGCGAGACTTGGCACATCTGAATTTGTATTTGTGTCCGTTTTCCCCATTCTTGACAATGCTATAGCCGTGTGCATGGCCGTGTGTGCAGATGTTTTGAGACAGGTCGTCTAGGCTCTCGTAGACCTTGGGAGGTGGCGGCGGGCCGCAGGTTCGAAGAATCAGGTCGGCGGAAAGCTCTGCCATGTCAAAGGTACCTAGGAGAACATCGAGACGGTCAGTTTGAGTCCCTAAACATAGAAGAAGGGGACGGCAGCATACCAGCCCGAGGATTCTACTCTGACAGATCCAGTTGTCGATGTGACCAGGTTGTCGGCTGCTGCTCAGGCGGTGTTGACCTCGAGTAGGTTACAGAAGGCACCTAGCGGTATCTAAGTGGTGGGGCAGTTGGCACCGGCCTGAAAATTTAGTATCGGTAATTCACTAGCACGTATCCGTGGTAAGAAAAAAAAAGATTAACTATCCCGATTAGGAATAGCTGGGTACTTGATAGCGTTTCGTGGGTGCTTGTCAACCTTCCCCTAGCTTTAGTAGCGTCCTTACTTTTACAACTGTAAACGTTTGAATAACGCTACTAGCCACGTAATACTTCAATAATTTCCTTATACTAGTACGAAGGTAGAGGTTAGCCGCCTATAGCTATAGGTCCTAAACGCAGGGCTTAGAGGCTTTACCATAGGTTGTTATATAACCTCAGCTATAGCTAGGGATATAGTCCGTTTCGACGCTATAGAGAACCTTCTTGATATATTCCTTAAATCAACTTTTCTTGGGAACGAGCTAGAGATCCTCGTTACTGGAATCGCCCTCTTGTGACGGGCACCACGGCAAGGTCTGGTCAGCCTGCAGATACATATGATATTGCAGGAAAAGAGCAAGACTACCTATCTAGCATGTAGGCATGCGACCAGGTCTGATGCAGATGCGAGCCCAGTGCAGGTTCGGTGCAGAGGTCCGGGACATGGCATATACATGACATGACATACGCATACGTGGCCTGCGTGGCCAAATCCGTGGCTCGGATCCGTGGCCCAGATACAGGAACAGGAATCCTGTGACACCTCTATAGCGAACTTACCAAGCGCCTGAAGCTTCTATATCGAGAATCGGTA